GGCCATGGCCCATATTGCAAAAGGGTTTTAACAAGTATGTTCATGTGTTATACGTGGTAAGTTCAATCTTACTGATTGTACTGATCGATAATGTTACCTAATACAAGGAATCAATCTGCATAAATCCAGTTTCCATAACTTACTTGTATGTGGCGGTTATTTAGTGAAATTCCTCTATTGAATTGACTTTCAGAAATTTCACATTGATTTACTGATGGATCTTGTTTAAAATACATCTTCGAACAGTGCGTTGGTGTTATGAGAAGGCCTCGACATAATTGTCAAACTTTGAGAACAGTTTGGAGAAGGTAAGTCAGTCCGTTTGATTTCATTTGAGACCGATGGATTGCTCATTAACATAAAATCTAACAATTGCAACACAACCAAATGTTGCACAGTCACATAAAATCGACAGACCAACTCTGATTGATGTGTGTCACAATTGTGGACACCCGATTATAAAAGTTGTTTAACAAACGGTCATTATTTTGCTGTCACTTTTCGCTATTTTGTACAAGGGGGGACCACTTGCTGGTAGAACAGCCAAGTAATCATCACCCGTGTGTGGTGAAATTTCATCTTGACACGTGCAACTCGCACACCTGGCTGTTCTACCTGCAAGTGGTCTCCCATCGTAAAACATCGCGAAAAGTGACAACAAAATAATGCCAAACAACTTTTTTATTCGTGTGTCCAAAATTATGAGACAAATCATCAGAGTTGGTCTGTCTATTTCACGTAACTGTGCAAAATTTGGTTTTGTTGCAAGTATTAGATTTTGTGTTAGTGAGCAATTCATCTGTCTCAAATGAAATCCAACAGACTGTATATTGCGTGGCGAAATAGGGACATGTGGAGGACGGTCGTCAAGTCTGTACAGAGTGACGTCCCTTGAGTAACGTGAATCCCCTGATCGCAGGCATGCAGTGATTATCATGATTGATTTGTCAGCACCATAGGCTTCTTGGTCGGAAGATGCAATGTCAGCCTGACAGTGAGCGGTTCGCACTGGAATAGGGTCGGTTGGGTACCCAGAAATGGTCTGGGTTCGACGCGAATGTGTGTGAAGCCCATTTCAGGTGTCTCTCGCAGTGATATTGCTGGAATATTGCTTAAAGCGGCGTAAAACCCGACTCACTCATAGAAACGTATTTGTTCAAGGCACACTTTGATAATACGACCAAGTGGTGTAGAGGATTGAGCGTCTGTCTGGAGAGGGGAAGGTCGGTGGTTCGATGACATCACAGCAATTTTATCATAAACAGGTATTTATCCCATAAATCAAACATAGATAACAACATGTACTTATTTTATCACCTATCATTAGTCATGACTGGCTTCAGCAATGTGTAATACCTGTAATATTTGGCCGGTAATGAAAAAGGGCGTGCCATCCCCATTTTGGAACATACAAAATGTACAACATTAACTTTTACGGAAGAAATGAAATGTTTCGTTTAGCTAATAAAGAGAGTGAGTGAGTTGAATTTTACGCCGCTTTAAGCAAAATTCCAGCAATATCACTGCGAGAGACACCTGAAATGGGCTAAACACATTACAATTTCAAGCAAGGGATTAGTGGGATTATAGGCTTAACATAAATTAAATATGCAACTTTGCACAGAGTCAAAAGTTGCTCTCTCAAACGGTCACAATCTCCCTCTATCGCTCACACACTAACTGACCTATAAGCGTCCGTTGGTCACACCGAAGTTGGGTTCGATCCCCAACATGGGTACAGTATATGAAGCCTATTTCTGGGGTCCCCCGCCGTGATATTGCTGGAATATTGCTAAAAGCAGTGTAAAACTAAACTCACTCACTCACTAACTGGTCTAGCGGCCCCTGTACAGTATACGCATCATGTCGGTAGGCGTTCGTAAGATCATCATCAGCATTATCAGCATCATCAACGTCGTCGTCATGAGCATGTAAGTCAGTGAGGTATTCCGACTGGACATGAGTAAAATGCAGAAGCAGGTGCCACGAAAGCCTCACTTGTGCAAACAAAATGTGAGCAAACAATGTCACCCAATGCTTTTTTATATTTTGAAATATTGTTGAAATATTGTTTAATGTCAATAAAGATGTCCCTTGAGTGTCTGTGTCTTAGGTTTTCTCTAAACGTTAAGTTTTCATACACCAATATTGATAATACACATTGAAACTGACTTTCAGTTAATCTGTCAAATAAATCGACTCATTTTTCAGGCAATTTACAAATTGCACGATTCTACACATTGACTGTAACACATGCACAACCGAAGAAAGACAATGCTCTATAGTATTAGAGTTTGAATCAATGCTCGACTTATTTTCTTATTAACTGTATATAATTATTTAACAACGGGCGAAAGAAGTTTGAAACAAAATATTCTTAGCTAATTGTTGACACTTGAAATCGCATACAAATAATTTCACTTGCCACCCTTATAATACAATTGAATTTTACGAATGAGACGTAACTAACATTTGTATGAAACGCATACAGGTAAGTTATGCCCTTCGATCGATGTAATTTACGTGTTGCAATTTAGTAGTAGTTGTTTATTTTAGTCTCAAATATAATGTATACATAAATTTATAGAGCTGTGGATGCACAAGCCGCCAGAAGGCTATTAGAGACTTAAAGAGCTTAAAAATACGTGAGATGGATAAAATGAATTACATAAAATTATACTCTTGAAATTAAACATGACACACACACGCACGCGGGCGCGCGCGCGCACACACACACACACACACACACACACACACGCACGCACGCACGCGCGCGCACAAACACACATGCACACATAGTATCAGTGGTAAACACAGAGGCGCTCACACAGAGATACACGTGCACAGGTATTATCTATCTGCATTCGTTTTCACATTCACCATCATACTTTCACCATCATTCTTACACGGGCAGTTGGGTAGCCTAGTGATTAAAGCAGTCGCTCGTCACGCCGAAGGCCCGGGTTCGAATCCCCACATGGGTACAATGTGTGAAGCCCATTTCTGGTGTCCCCTGCCGTGATATTGCTGGAAGATTGCTAAAAGCGGCGTAAAACCATAGTCAGTCAGTCATACTTATACATACAAATATGTTTAGTAGATGTTCAGAAATTCCGTGTAAGTAAAAATGTGCACCACAACCACCATATGCAATCACGTGTTGGAAGCAGTGGTTATGTCATTCGAACGTGAGCTTTGATGAACGAGAGTTTCCTGGAGTGGAATAAGTGTTTTTCAAAGGTAAGGGTGACTACTGTGTTGCCACATGATGTATGATGTTCCCGGGTTACAGCTTTAAAACATTATGATAATGTATTGGTTCATGAAGTTGAATAATTCCATAATTTTAGACATGTTTCATGAAAACCATTCTTTGCCGTCTGTGTAACAACTCAATTTTTGAAAATACCAATGTGTTGCTGTTTGAAAAGCAGCTGGTCATTGTGACTTTGATGTCGTCACGTGATACTTCAAGGTAAAATAGTATAAAGAGTTGTTGCAAGGTAATTGTTGGTTCCTGAGTGCTGAATATTTAGGGCTCCTTGCCTCTACACAAGAGACCTATTGTAATCGTTCGGATTATTATTATTATTATTTAATTTATTATTTATTATTCCGCCGATTCTTGTACCAAACAAACTTCCTAAACCAATGCTCCGAATCGGTACAAAACATCACACAGATGCCTACGGAGGTGAAGATATTCCCCTTAAAAATCTCTAGGCTCTGGGCCCAATAGCAAAAGGGGGATAATTCAAAATTAGTTCCACATGTTCAAAGTTTGACAGCAAATATCTCAATAGCTAATTGTTCCAACACTTCCAAATCTCTTGTACAGATGCACAATCGAATTCCCAACAATTTTGCCTGGACGGGTCAAGTCGCTAAATTGTACCGTTTGGCAGCTATTTTTGTTTTCAGTTTTTGGCCATGTTTTTCAGGAGTTTTCTGAGTAGTTTGCTCCCAAAATGTGCCAATTCTGCACAAAGTGCCAGTACGATAGATGAAGTCTTGGTGATTCCAGAAAACTAATTGTTTTGACCGTAGACCAAAGAACAACTGAGATACAGCCATTTAAAGAGGGAACTATTTCTTCTCCAGAACTTCTTAAAAGGTACATCACCCCCGCGACCCCGGCCGTATTTGGAAGATCCGCTCGCCTGTCAAAAACGTGTTCTGGCTCCATTTTTGGACGATGATTTCTAGCCCTCAAATACAATTCAAACACCCGTAACTCTCAAACCAACCTTCCGATTTCGACCAAAATGTACCTGTACAAGTGGGCTATCAGTGTCGATTATAACTACTGATTGCAGTAATGTATCTCCAAAGACAAGCAGTGGAATGATTCATATTAACTATAACTATTACAACTTTCATCAAATATGTGACAGGCACAAAAGGCTAGACAGAACTAAAGCCGAGGAGCCCTCGTCGTTGCTTGCAACTATATTTAGTAACAGATTCTCTAATGCTTGTACTTCATGAAAAGTAATGCAATTTATCGAACATCAAACACTGCGTTTCCCGCGAGTTTCCACTGGCAATAGTATATTTTAACTGAGAATGGCTGGTTAAACAAAGAAAAAACAAACAAACATGCAAGCAAGCAAACAAAAGATTGGTAGATGGCCTGAGAGGTTGACAGTTAAAAATTAACGTGGCAACAGTACAGATATCAGCCATACAGAGTTTACCGTTATAGTATGCACGCCGTTCCCGGTCAACTGATACAAAAAACTAGTTCAAAACTCATAGCAGGCCGCAGTCTATCCCCCATGTTAACACAGCCCTCATGCAATGAACCAGAACGGCCTTTAACGGGCCCAGTGTGAGCTTTAACACCAACACCGCTTCAAGGGCCCTGAATCTGTATATGTAAGTCGGACATGTCATTTAACGCAGTGATAATGTTACCTGACCCTTCAACGCACGAATATCGACGGACCATGTATATCTATGTGTGTCAAGGCGACGGCGTCGGGCTGAAAGCATCGCGCTGTTTATATCCATGTTTCGGGAGGGAGATAGTATGAGAGTGGAGGTCGTCAGAGGAGCACAATGTTATGTCCTTGCTCCTATAACGGAGATCATATTGCCCCTGGAGGAGCCCCTTGTACAGGTAGGCACTGAACATTGCAGTTTGTCGAGGTACCGTGTGTATATGTATGCTGATTATTGCTAGGAAACAGTGAGGATAGGTTTTCATCTGTGACATGTGCATGACGTTCATATACACTAATGTACATGTTTTTTGTGTTGTGAGAGTATGCTAATCAACAGAGTAAGCGTTATATTTTATATTACATGCCCCACACACACACACTCTCCCTTTCTCTCTCACCTGTCTCACATCAGTCCTCTAATATCACCTCTCATCACTCACTCACTCTCCAATTTTGGTGATATAAGAACATCTCCCATTTCTCTCTCTCTCTCTCTCACCTCTTTCCCATCTCACCTTTTTTCCATCTCTAATCTTTCAAATATCTTTCTTTCTCATCTCTTTCCCATCTCTTTTCTTGCATCTCTTTCTTTCTCCGACCTCTTTCTCTCGTTCATCTCGTTCTCTCACCACTTTCTATCTCACCCCTTTCCATCTCACACCTTTCTCGCTCTCCCTCTCAACCCTTTCTCTCTCACATCTTTCTGCACCTCTTCCCTCTCTCACCTCTTTCCGTCTCATCTGTCTCGCCCCTGTACTTCCTCTCACCTCTCTATCTCACCTGTTTCCCTCTCTCACCTCTTCTTTCTTTCATCTCTTTCTCACCCTTTCTCGCCCACCTCTTCCTCTCTCCGCCTCTTTCTCTCTCTCACTCCTTTCTCTCTCATCTCTTTCTCTAACCCTTTCTCTTTCTCACATCTTTCTCTCTCCACCTCTTTCTCTCTCTCACTCCTTTCTCTAACCCTTTCTCTTTCTCACATCTTTCTCTCTCCACCTCTCTCTCTCGCTCACTCCTTTCTCTCTCAACCACCCGTGAAGGTCCGGGTTAGAATTGGTCCCTCATATGTGGAGGCTACGACTTCGCCGGCTCCGTAATGCTCTTCATCAAAGTACGTCACTACAGCACGCACCCATGAAGATCCGGGTTAGAATTGATCTTCAGCAACCAATGCTTGCCGTAAGAGGCGACTAACGGGATCGGGTGGTCAGGCTAGCTGACTTTGCTGACACATGTCATCGGTTTCCAATTGCGCAGATCGATACACATGCTGCTGATCCCTGGATTGTCTGGTCCAGACTCGATTATTTACAGACCGCCGCCATATAGCTGGAATATTGCTGAGTGCGGCGTAAAACTAAACTCACTCACTCACTTCTCTCTCAACTCTGTCTCTCTCTAACCCCCTTCTCTCGCTCACCTCTTTCTCTCTCCCCCTATTGTCTCTGCCCTCTCCTTCCTCTCACTTTTCTCACCACTTTTCATACCCCCCAACCCCCACCCTCCCATCTCACTCATCCCTCATTTTTCCTTTTTTTCTTTTGAATAATTGTAACCAATTCTCATCCAGTTTACCATTTGGAATCATGCTGGACCCTCATAGGTATCGTCTCCTTGTGGCGACGTGGGCAGTCGTGGAGACGTCATTGTTCGGCGGAGTCATGTACGGATGGCCGTCTCTTGTCTACATCATCAAGGAGGAGGGACTATATTCTCATCTCTGTACAACAAATTCTTCGCAGAACTCTCACAGCAACCAAAACATGACTTCTGGCTCCAACTTGTTATATATCATAGAATCAACATCCCCGTCATACGTAGACCGCACGAGTCAGACATACTCAGAATACCCAAACGGGACGCACGGACAATATATGAATAAGAGTTTAAAGGGCTTTACGGAGCAATACAATTCAACGCAAACGTGTGAAGGATTCGCTACCGGAAGTGTGAAATGCAAAGCCCAGGATTCAATAATTGCTTTAGGGCAGACGATTTCCGGTAGTGTGTCTTTCATAGGAACACTTCTGGTTGGCCTAATTCATAGACGGATTGGAACCAAGCGTCTCAGAATAGGAATTTGGTAAATTGCAATTTGAAAAAACTTGGTATGTGACAGTCAGTTGAAAAGGAAATTATGACGTAAGAGTCCTTATTCTCATTGTCCTTTTATGGTAGCGTGGAACGTTTAATGGTGATAATATATCTACCTTTAAAGAAGGATGCTCGAACACTGAAGAACTTACATGAAGATGGTTTAAAAACGTCCCAATCGGTTCTCTTGTTGTAACTAATAGATGTATGGGAACACCGTGACGAAACCTCACTGTGGGATTAAGCAGCGCTTGCAATTAACTCCTGATGGCTACCTTTATATGTGTATTTAATATCAGTAGTCACTTTTATTAATTAACTTTCAATTACACATTTCAGGGTCCTGTTTGTCTTCGGCTGCCTCTGTGTGGCCTTCGTGACGAATGGTGGGTTGACTATGAATAATTATTCATAACACTGCCATACAAAATAAAGTGAACAATAGCTTTGTTTTTTGAGCATGTGCTTTTAATATGAAATTAACCAACATCATGGAAGACTGTTACGTACAAGATTAACAGCAATATTCTAATGTTATAGCGCACCATAACAGTACAAAGATACTTGGAGGAAGATTTAACGAACTGAATATGAATGATGTATCGTGTTAAGTATGAAAACTCGTTGTAAAGAAATGATGAAATATTTGAGATACAGACATGATATTATTTCAGAGACTGCTTGGTTGATATTCGTTGGATACTGGACAGTTGGTGTAGCAGGACTGGGGCTTCTCATCACGAATATACAGGTAGATAGTAAGAGCTGAAGGTTTCTCACGAATATACAGGTAGATAGTAAGAGCTGAAGGTTTCTCACGAATATACAGGTAGATAGATAGAGCTGAAGGTTTCTCACCAATATACAGGTAGATATAGTTAGAGTTGAAGGATTCTCACCAATATACATGTAGATAGATAGAGCTGAAGGTTTCTCACGAATATACAGGTAGATAGTTTGAGCTGAAGGTTTCTCACGAATATACATGTAGATAGATAGAGCTGAAGGTTTCTCACGAACATACAGGTAGATAGATAGAGCTGAAGGTTTCTCACGAATATACAGGTAGATAGATAGAGCTGAAGGTTTCTCACGAATATACAGGTAGATAGATAGAGCTGAAGGTTTCTCACGAATATACAGGTAGATAGTTAGAGCTGAAGGTTTCTCACCAATATACAGGTAGATAGATAGAGCTGAAGGTTTCTCACGAATATACAGGTAGATAGTTTGAGCTGAAGGTTTCTCACGAATAGACAGGTAGATAGTTTGAGCTGAAGGATTCTCACGAATATACAGGTAGATAGCTTGAGTTGAAGGATTCTCACCAATATACAGGTAGATAGATAGAGCTGAAGGTTTCTCACGAATATACAGGTAGATAGTTAGAGTTGAAGGTTTCTCACGAATATACAGGTAGATAGTTAGAGTTGAAGGTTTCTCACCAATATACAGGTAGATAGCTTGAGTTGAAGGATTCTCACCAATATACAGGTAGATAGATAGAGCTGAAGGTTTCTCACGAATATACAGGTAGATAGATAGAGCTGAAGGTTTCTCACGAATATACAGGTAGATAGTTAGAGTTGAAGGTTTCTCACCAATATACAGGTAGATAGTTTGAGCTGAAGGTTTCTCACCAATATACAGGTAGATAGTTTGAGCTGAAGGTTTCTCACGAATATACAGGTAGATAGTTAGAGTTGAAGGTTTCTCACGAATATACAGGTAGATAGTTAGAGTTGAAGGTTTCTCACGAATATACAGGTAGATAGCTTGAGCTGAAGGTTTCTCACCAATATACAGGTAGATAGTTAGAGCTGTAAACTTCTGAAAACTATAAACGTTGTTTTAATCGCAGGTTTCTAATGACGAATATACAGGTAGATAGTTCAAACCGTAGGATTCTTATGACGAGTGAACATGGATATAGAATCTACAGGTAGATACTGAATAATGATGTTGGTCACAACAGACGTGATTCTGTAGGTGTTATTAGTCAAAAATACAGTTAGAGAGTTGGACCTGTATTTAGAGAGTTGGATCTAAAGGTTTCTATTGAAGGTTTCTATATATGACGATTTTAGAAGTCCAGGCTAGTCATAGCGAATATTAAGGCTTAGACATGTGTATGTGTAGGCCTTTACTGTAGTTGTGCAAAAGAGACAGTTCATCTGGCACATTCATTCACCTTCTCAGTTCTTCTTCGCTTCATGTCCTACAGGTGTCGTATCTGTTCTCCACGACGAGCGGCACTGTGACATCCCTCATATGTGGAGGCTACGACTTCGCCGGCTCCGTAATGCTCTTCATCAAAGTACGTCACTACAGCACGCACCCATGAAGATCCGGGTTAGAATCGATCTCAGTAACCCATGCTTGTCGTAATAGGCGACCAACGGGATCGGGTGGTCAGGCTCGCTGGCTTGGTTGACACATGTCATCGGTTCCCAATTGCGCAGATCGATGCTCATGCATATAGCTGGAATATTGCTGAGTGCGGTGTAAAACTAAACTCACTCACTGCAGCACGCTTCATAAATTCTACTTTTATTGTTGTATCGTATTAACTATTACCCTGTGTGGATCCGGGTTAGAATTGGTCTTCAGCATCCCATGCTTGTCGTAAGAGACGACTCACGGAGTCGCGTGGTCAGGCCTTCTGACGTGCTTGATGCATGTCATCGTATCTCAATTGCGTCAATGCACAGTTCTCTCATGATATTAGTCAATGGATTGTCTGATCCAGACTCAATTAGTTTCAGACAGCCGGCATATATCTAACAAAATTGCTTAGTACGAATTGAGAATTGAGCATGTCTTTCTGAATCCTTATCCAGGGGGAATTCGAGATGCTGGAATATTGCTAGGAACATAGTGAAAGGTGACATAGGAATGTGAAATATCAAACAGTAAATTCCAGATAATGTTTGAATATCCAATGAAACCGACTCCATTGAGTGAATTAATCACAGGAATTCATTCATAGCACAAAGAGGATGAATAATGGTATTTAAATAGAGACACGTGACATACATGATACAGTGTGCCTGCCTCACAATCACTGAGCCATGTCATTTTACGCTCCACCAAGCCATTACTTTCATGCAAAATCCATAAATGAAGCAAGACTGACTGACTGAGTTTGGTTTTACGCCGCTTTTAGCAATATTCCAGCAACATCACGGCGGGGGACACCAGAAATGGGCTTCACACATTGTACCCATGTGGGGATTCGAACCCGGGTCTTCGGCGTGACGAGCCAACGCTTTAACCATTAGGCTACCCCACCGCCCCAAATGAAGCAAGATCTTAACCTGTCACATCAATAGGGCTCCTGTTCAATATAAATTGAATTCTCTGTTCTATCAATTTCCCACATGGGTACAGTCTCTGCAGCTCATTTCTGGTGTACCCCGCCGTGATATTGCTGGAATGTTGCTAAAAGCGGCGTACAACGTAATGTTGCAGTTTGCCTACGAAGCAGGTGCATCACTCATGATCACCCATCTGGTTCTGGCAGGGGCGAGCGTGATGACAGTCATCAGTGCTATCGGCTGGATGCCGTCGGGAATGTTCAAGAGGAATCACCAAGCAACGCCTCCTGGCGGTCAGGATCAGGAACAGGAAGTGCAGCCATTCAAGGTCAAAGGTGAGTACTGCTATCCGTTCATATGAACCAATAAGACTCATGCATACCGAGCCCCACATGGGTACAATGTGTGACGCCCATTTCTGGTCTCCCTGTGTCGTGATATTGCTGGACTATTGCTAAAAGAGGCGTAAAACTAAACTCACTCACTCATGCATACCGAGCCCATTTCTGGTGTCCCTGTGTCGTGATATTGCTGGACTATGCTAAAAGAGGCGTAAAACTAAACTCACTCACTCATGCATACCGAGCCCATTTCTGGTCTCCCTGTGTCGTGATATTGCTGGACTATTGCTAAAAGAGGCGTAAAACTAAACTCACTCACTCATGCATACCGAGCCCATTTCTGGTGTCCCTGTGTCGTGATATTGCTGGACTATGCTAAAAGAGGCGTAAAACTAAACTCACTCACTCATGCATACCGAGCCCATTTCTGGTCTCCCTGTGTCGTGATATTGCTGGACTATGCTAAAAGAGGCGTAAAACTAAACTCACTCACTCATGCATACCGAGCCCATTTCTGGTGTCCCTGTGTCGTGATATTGCTGGACTATGCTAAAAGAGGCGTAAAACTAAACTCACTCACTCATGCATACCGAGCCCATTTCTGGTCTCCCTGTGTCGTGATATTGCTGGACTATTGCTAAAAGAGGCGTAAAACTAAACTCACTCACTCATGAATACCGAGCAGCATCTCCATAGATTTATGTTGCCCTCGATCCAAGGGTTAATGCCTGAATAGACATTTATTTGACATCAATTTACATCTTTACTTCATTTTACATTCCTATATCTCATTCAAATATTAAACATATAAGTTAAAATGAACAGATCTAGTTTAGATATTACGTGTCTTTGTGTATGCTTGTTGTGTAACACAAAAATAGCTCATACGTGGACCATTCTTTTGTTTAGAAGTCTCCCAGGGTTGTTGCAAAATGATAGGGATATGTATTCTTCAGTTCTGACCGTAATCAGAATGGAGATAATTAGTTAGTCTCATTACGACTACTGGTTGACACCTGAAGGGTTTTCTACGTTCCATCTTTATATTGCGTCATGGTCATATCCGTTATATGGCCAATACCGATCAGGGAATATGTCAGTGATTCAACAACTTTCCTTACAATAATTTAAACTTATAATGAAATCAGAAAGCCAAATATGGATACATCGTCAGTGCAAACGAATATCCAGTCTTGACTATCCGCAAAAGCAGATTCCATTTGATATAACATAAAATAGCCGCGATTGGTGCTTTGGATAAGCTGGAATGGCTAGAAGCATGTTGAGGTGTCTGCCTTCCGCATGTTAATGATTAAACAGAAAGGTCAATTCTCAACACGAAGACAGGTGTAAAAAAGCATTTCGAGATTCTAGTCTAGTCCAGCCCGTACAATTGACTGATATTGGTGACATATTTCAGACAGCGACAGGGAACAACACCAGCAGGAGGAAAACAAACAGCTTCATCCGTCCAAAGTAGGTACCCCTGGGGTGAAGATCCCGGGGGTAAAGACGTACCTATTGTCCCCGCTCTACCTGTTCCACCTTCTGTGGTACAACATCTTGCAGGTCAGGTTCATCAACTTCACCTCCCTCCTGAACCCATACCTCACCTACATCACACGGGGCAACACACTACAGGGTACGGGTTATGGAATAGTTAAGTGTGTGTAAGTGGTCGATATTTCTTGTTCAGGAAAAGCTAGAAATAGGTTTTGTATATTGTGAACCGAACATTATGAACGCAAATGATGAACTAATTAATACGTCTTGTGTGTTCGAGGCAAACCGAATATCTAAATTTTACTTCTTGTAGGATTTTTCTTTTCACCAGAACAGATATAATAATTGAAAATCATCCCATTTAACGATGAATGATATATTATTATACATGGTGTAGAATATTTGGCTTCAACCATTACATCTTTGTTTCGTTTTGTTTATATATGTAGAAAACGTGATGTGTGTGTGTGTGTGTGCGTGTGCGTGTATGTGTGTATACTGTTGATTCCTCAATGTCCTCTATTTGTATACATTAGCTCAACCTTCTTTCTTCATGGGTACAATTTTTTCTGTATACGTAGATTATGAGTGTTCATTTTCTTATTAATTGTGTGATTTCATTGGTCGTTGACCTCACTCACATACTGACGCTGAGGTTTTATTGTCACTTTAGTGAACACTCTAGCATGCCCAAGTCTTTGCTGACAAACTAAAACCTTATTGTTACAGTCAGTCATTTCACCAACGTATTCCTGTACGCCACCATGTTTGGTTACGTCACTTCCTGTCTGAGCGGCATCGTGTACGACCTTCAGAAGGCCAAATATAAAGGTCAGGTTGCTCGTATAATTGTACAGTAATATTACATGGCGTCAATCCCTTGTTCAGACTCTGCATTGGGTAGCTGTAGTTTGGATGATTAGGTTTCATGTACACATTATAAATTTATAATGGCGTTGTATAGGCATTTTAGACTTTGGAAGAACATAAACACAGGACATGTTATTTCATGAATAACATTTTTTTTTGTTATGAGTCGCACAGTCGACAGTTTGTAACAGATATTTTGAATGGGGGTGACTGGGTTTAGTAACTGTTTTTCATGAACATATGGGAAATTTACTGTGCACATAAACCTCTGTTTACATATCTAGCCTCGACGCCTTTGAAACGGTCACTTCTGCCAGCCGTTGTACCTTTGAGTGTGGCGTCCTTGATTGGGGTCCTCTTGTCAGTCCTCATATTCGTCCCCCATCGGGAAGTCCTGTACGCCATCTTTGTCCTCACCACTGCGTACAGATCGTTCCTGTACACTATGGCAGCGTCCTTCGTCAGCCAGGTGTACGTATGTCTCACAATATCAGTGCATTGTGGCTGTGTTCTTGGTCTGCCAGGTGTACGTATGTCTCACAATATCAGTGCATTGTGGATGTGTTCTTGGTCTACCAGGTGTACGTATGTCTCACAATATCAGTGTATTGTGGCTGTGTTCTTGGTCTGCCAGGTGTACGTATGTCTCACAATATCAGTGTATTGTGGCTGTGTTCTTGGTCTGCCAGGTGAACGTATGTCTCTCACAATATCAGTGTATTGTGGCTGTGTTCTTGGTCTGCCAGGTGTGCGTTTGTCTCACAATATCAGTGCATTCAAGTGTACGTATGTCTCACAATATCAGTGCATTGTGGCTGTATTGTTTGTCTGCCAGGTGAACGTATGTCTCACAATATCAGTACATTATGGCTGTGTTCTTGGTCTACCAAGTATACGTATGTATGTATATCAATTCTTGCTCTGCCAGGTGTGAGTATAGATCGGCCCTGCCTTCCTTCCATTGTTGAAGTCGCAAAATAACATTATCTCGCGTGTTAATAAACTGTGTTCGACTTTGAAATGTCCGAATGTATTTGCAGGTTTCCAGCTGAACACTTCAGTATCCTGTACACGGTGATGATCATCTCTGGAGGCGTCCTCTCCTTCGTACAGTACGCCCTGTATTACTGGTCGTACGCCTACGAAGGAGCGTATACACACGTACGTACATATCGTCCTCTCCTTTCTTCAGTACGCCCTGTATTAGTACTACTGGTCGTACGCTTACGAAGGAGCGTATACACACGTACGTACATATCGTCCTCTCCTTCCGTCACTACGCCCCGTATTACTTTTACATACGTACAGATAGCCGTCATATTGTTGAAATATTGCTTAGTGCCGCGTATTACCAACAAACCAAACAAAACACCGTCTTGATATACAGTAATTACCAGTTCCGGCTTAAAAGTCACCCCATTTACTTTCTTGTTGTCACTCTATTGGGCGCACATTGAATGACATAATGTATGTTAAATATTTGTGAAGGCTGGTCAAGGTGTTCTGTATCTTCATTCAAAGGGTTAGAATTGGCCTTCAGTAACCCATGCTTGTCGTAAGAGGCGATTAACGGGATCGGGTGGACTCGCTGGCTTGGTTGACACATGTCATCGGTTCCCCATTGCGCAGATCGATGCTCATGCCGTTGACCACTGGATTGTCTGGTCCAGACTCGATTATTTACTGACCACCGCCATATAGCTTGAATATTGCTCAGTGCGGCGTAAAACTAAACTCACTCACTCATTCAAAGTTTCTGTTACCGAATTTTAAGTGGCCACTTCAAACGTAATGGGCTAACCGAGACCCGAACCCCTAATCCCAGGCTCTTGGTGTGTGCACATTTATGATGACAAGAGTCTACACCACATTGCTAAGTCATCGTTGTCGTCCTCCACAGATGTGTATCCTGATGCTGTGCATGGTGCTGCTGTCGTTCCTCCATCCCGTCTACATCGTCGTCAAGTGTCGTGGATCGACAAGCGTCCAGCGTCACAATAACTCACTCAAACACTTGTAAACCGCATCATACTTCACCACCTGCCAGACGTTACAACTATGGCATCCCAGAAGGTACTGGGGTGGTGGGGTGGCCTAGTGGTTAAAGCGTTCGCTAGTCACGCCGAAGGCCCGGGTTCGATTCCCCACATGGGCACAATGTGTGAAGCCCATTTCTGGTGTCCCCCGCCGTGATGTTGTTGGAATATTGCTAAAAGCGGCTTAAAACTATATTCACTCACTCACTAGAAGGTTCATTGTCGCATCGTCGAGCTTAGTAAAAGACGCGAAAGGTCAATCAACCAAAGCGACAAATGATCTAACTAAAGCCTTTTCGACTTGTCGCGATCTCTTCTGCTTTGACACTTTTTGCATGTTTTCGCAGTTGGTGCAAGATGGTTAGCTTGTAGTGAGTGAGTGAGTGAGTGAGTGAGTGAAATTACATGAAATAACTGCTCTTAAACTAACGCAATAAATTCTTCTAAAAATGGCTTATCCGTTTCTTCTTTTTGAAGCGTGTATAAACGAGAACTAAATTACTGTTTAGCCTTTCATGTCCAATGAAATCTGCTTCTCTAGGTAATGGATACTGGTAATGTCTTTCTCCAAAGTTTCTCCAAAGGCAGCTCGTATAGTAACTGGCCTACCCAAGTACACGCCGAGTAGAGCTCTTTATTATGAGACTGGATGTAATTGCTATCAGAGAGAAGAAAGAAGCGTAAATTAAACTTGTTTTATAAGATTAAATATGACATCGCCCCGTCTTTTTAAAATGAATTGTTACCACCTGTTGTAGGAAAAAGAACCCATTATAACTTACGTGATGCTGAAAATTATACTGTACCCAATACAAGACTAAAATATTCAGCATCTTCATTTATTCCGTCAACCATAAAAGCCTGGGACAATCTCCTGTCAACGGTGAGAAACTGGGACTCCATTTCCTCATTTAAAAGAAACATTACAACAAGGCGTAATAGTGCCCCATCATACTTTCCATCTGGTATACGTAAGCTAAATACTTTACACACAACTGACTGACTGAGTTTGGTTTTACGCCGCTTTTAGCAATATTCCAGCAACATCACGGCGGGGAACACCAGAAATGGGCTTCACACATTGTGCCCATGTGGGGATTCGAACCCGGGTCTTCGGCGTTACGAGCCAATTTTACACACAAAGTTACGATACAATGTAAGTACGTTCAACTATGATTTATATCCATCCTGTTCTTGTGGATGTTTCTGTGAAAATGTATATCATTATTTCTTGGATTTTTGTCCCCGTTATAAAACACGTAGAGAAACTTTGTTAGCTAACATAAGAGATATTTTACAAAACAGATATTTACCAGATCTATGTCTCATTTTATATGGCAATGCAGACCTCTCAACTTAAGAAAATCTGAATATCTTCAAACATGTCCGTCACTACATCAATCAAACTAAACGATTCCTCTGTTCTTCCTAATCTGTTAACCGCCTCCGTGGTGTAGTGGTTAGAGCGTCCGCCCGGAGAGCGGAAGGTCGCGGGTTCGATCCCCGACCGCGTCATACCAAAAGACGTTAAAATATGGTACTTGTTGGTCCCTGCCTGGCGCTCGGCATTAATGGGTACAACAAGGACTGGTCGGCTCGGAGTCAGTATAATGTGTCTGAGTGGGATTTTCATGCTTCACTGCGGCATGGTATCTCAGTGGGCTAGCACTATAAAACCAGCTTCAGTCTGGGCTAGTACAAGCAGCCGCACATACCCATACACACGCATGCACGTCGTCATATGAGCGAAATATTCTCAAGCACGACGATAAACCCAATTTCTCCTCACCTCACCTCCTAATCTGTTTTATTCTCAAACTCAAGATCTCTCATGTATATGTTCTCTGTATAATTGTTGTAAATATTGGGAGAGAGCGTCATTAAGTTGGACAACTTGTGCCCAATCCTTTTCCTCAATGAATAAAATATGTTTCAATGAAATCCAAAGTTAAGGGAGACATATTGCTCTGTGATCATTGGCGTGACCATCCTATTCTGAGCCCTTACTTCAAAACCTTTCGGTGTTTGTGAACACACGTGACATACGAATTGACGGACAACTTGTTTCAACAAGATGCATAGTTGTGTGCTGTAGATACCACTCAGTAAATCGTGACTCTCGTTTCTGTTGCATGCATTAGCAAGTTACTATTCGGCAGGTCCATCAAGCAATTCATGAAGATAGCAGTCATTTATGATCTATTGGTCGTGACTGAGTCTCCGATAATGATTCTTGCTTTTAGTCATTTTACGAGACCGTGCAAAGCTATTTATTCAGAGTTTTATCTCTTAGACTCGCATCTGTGTGTTGGTTACAAGTTCTAATCCCAGGACGTTAGAGTGGGTGAGTTTAGTTTTACGCCAATTTTAGCAATATTTCAGCACTCTGAGGGACACCATAAATGGAAATACTCACACTGCACCACTAGGTTTACGCCACATTCAGCAGTAGTCCACCTATATGGCGGTACTCTGTATAAGAATAACTCCAGTCGTAAAAGACAGTGTTACTAACAGGGCTGATATCTTACTAGTCGATGATGTACTACCCCTTCTGATGAAGATGATACAGGGTGTCGGATACAAGACTGACTGACTGACTGACTGAGTTTGGTTTTACGCCGCTTTTAGCAATATTCCAGCTACATCACGGCGGGGGACACCAGAAATGGGCTTCACACATTGTACCCATGTAAGGATTCGAACCCGGGTCTTCGGCGTGACGAACCAACGCTTTAACCACTAGGCTACCCCACCGCCCTCGGATACAAGAGGTCACATCAATGTTGGCGTCCAGGGCCCCGTTCCTCAAAGCGATCGTAGCGCTACGACTGTTGCAAGTCTATGTTAAAGTATGGGAGTTACGATCATCTTAACGCTACGATCGCTTTGAGGAACGGGGCCCTGACCTCTGATCGTCCAACAGCCCCGGTGAACAGTGCATCTATCAAGCAGACCTTGGGTTCTCTATGACAAAACGGCTGGATGATACACAGACTGCTATGAACCCCACTCCTGTAGATATTACTTTCAGTCAATTCACTGGACTGAGTGTACGTGTTGTTGCATGCCCCGACCACAAGCAGCAGCCTGTGTCTCCGGGTTGCCTACAAGAGCACCCTCCTCAGAGCCATCCCACTCACCCAGAAGAGAGTTGGCCAGTCTTATGACCTACGACTGTGTTTTGTACTGGATGGAGCTAACAACGAACTGTTAGTTATCAATGCTTCTGATAACACAGTGTACACCACTGTTACAGATGTAGATTTTGGAGAACAGGAGAACTGATATCAGGCCACAACGTAACAGGATCCTTCAACGACTACAATCGGTAGAAAAGTCTTCATCATCAGCATGACACTCTTCAAGTACAATACAGACACCGATCTCTGTACCCAGCTCTGAAGGTGTCAGGTATATTGCACAAGACCGCAGTATGCAACAGATGCTGGTATGTGCAGTTATGATTCATGTTTTACTATTAGTGTTAATTACAAAGTCTATTGCAAAAGAACAAAACGAAATGTCTAACTATGATACTATATTCGTTAAGATAAGTGTGAGTGTTATTTAGATCAGAATTAATCTGAATTACTGACACATCAGTTTTCAATTGAATATAACTTTTGCCATTCATTGTAGGTTTGCGTTCCCATTAGCCGAGAATTGTAACCTATGTTTTTAATGGTTTATTTTTTTTTGAAGTTTGAAATATTCTTGTAGCTACTAGATTTCTATGTAGATGAATGATATTTTCACTTCCCTTACAACAATAGTGTGATGTTTATTAATTATATATGGCTGAAGTAATAGGTGATGTTTTGCTTGGTATCGTAGCACTGGACCTTTCACCTGAGAATATACATGTATGCGTTGATGCTTTGCCAACACTGTGTTAGTTGTCACAGTGTCCTTACATGCTGAATAAATATATTGTGTAAGAATTAATGTGGAGGCTGAAATAGCTTACGTAGATTACATCCAACACAGCTTGATCGAAGTACACTATTCACACCCGACCTTCTGGGCGTGTGTAGATAATGCCGTGGCATGATTGTGTCCATGTCCATGCATCTAGACGCTACCTGTACAACACCCCTTAACTGTCACTTCTCGAAAGGTAAATAAGTTAGTCAGTCTGATTGGTTATAAACTCTGCTTTTGAGGAATTAAACAACGTTGTTGATGCATACAGATTCACAGTTGCAGAAGTGATGGTACAGATTGAATCTCGAGGTACTTCCTGGTTGTTATGGACACCTGACGATATAGGACGCTATGGACCCTTGTTAACGTTTGATACCATTTCTTTCTGCAGGAATGTTTGCCTTTGTTGTTTCGTTTTTTGTTCGATTCCCCTCATGGATACATTGTGTGAAGCCCATTTAACACATTTTCACAGAGTTCCATCTCTTGAGTAAGATTATTGTTTCTCAACCTTACTATTCGCTATCGTATCATTTGGCACCTCCCCCCAATTCAGATATGGAATATTCAGATGGTAAAGACAACTTGCCCCTTCGCTTAGGGCGATACTGCACATTACCCTATGACATTACCAGTATGAACTCGTAATCAACTTATTCATAATGTTAAACGCAAGAGGCGTTATTGTACTGATATGATGTTTGCTTACGTCCTTGACATCAACTCGGCGTGATCGAAGTGCACTATTTACAACTAACCTTGTTCTAGGCGTGTGCAGATAATGCATTGTGTCTGCGTACATGAATCTAGACGCCTCCTGTACAACACCCCCTAACTGTCAATTCTCGAAAGGTAAGATGTTAGACAGTCTGTTTTTGACAGATTCTGCTTCTTATAAAAATAAGCAATGTGATGTGTCCAGATTCACAGTTGCAGAAGTGATGGTACAGATTGAATCTCGAGTTACCTCCTGATTGTTATCAACACCTGACGATATAGGACGCTACGAACCCTTGCCAAAGTTTAACATAATTTGTTTCAGCTGGAAGGAAATTTGAAATGGATCAAATATTCTGTTTTAGTGGTAATGTTTCCTTTCGTCCTGTGTTCGTTATTTTCTGATTTTGATAAATGATTTAAAATGTGACAAATATTCTGTTAAAGTGGGACTTAAATTATTTGTGGGAATATGGAGTGAATTCCTGGCTCCTATCAACAGGTGAATCAGATATGGTGGTTTTAAGACAAAGCAGTTCGCTGTGTTTCTTCCTAAAAGCGGAAATGCATTGTCGCTTTGATTATGTCTGTAGTTTTCTACAACTGAACCGAACTCATTGCAAGTGCAGAATTGAATTTTACACTCAGTGTGGGCATGTTTTACACGTGATAACGCAATTTGCAAACAATTGTCCCTCTCTGTGTGATACTCGTTTGTGCTGGTATGCAAGGAGGCAAGCACCATTTTAAAACCAAAATTGCCGTTCTTGGGTATGATTATCACATATTATAGTCTTCAGACATATATCATTTCGCAACCTCCTCCAAGAAACAATATAATATATGCAAATGGTATGACACATTATTACCTGACACCAGACACTGACAATATGAATTCTCTCTAAGCAGTTGTCCTGTAGCAGTTTAGTATGATATCGTTGTACGTATGTCTCTGACACACTGACAATATGAATTCCTCTCTAAGCAGTTGTCCTGTAGCTTAGTATGATATTGTAATGTATGTCTCCTCCACACTGACAATATGAATTCATCTAAGCAGTTGTCCCGTAGCTTAGTATGATATTGTACGTATGTCTCCCACACTGACAATATGAATTCCTCTAAGCAGTTGTCCCGTAGCTTAGTATGATATTGTACGTATGTCTCCGACACTAACAATATGAATTCTCTCATCAACCTGTGTCTCCAGCTGTAAGATTTTCGCCTGTGAGAAGCGCTGTTGTGCTGATATATAAATTTGCTTGCATCTGTCACAACCTCAATGGAGTGATCCAAATACATTGTTTTACTGTAGACAGCAGGGTGCTAAGTAACTTTCTTTTTGTAGAGTGTCGGGATTTGAAACCTATGTTGACATTCAGCAGAAGTTTGTTTGAGTGGTACTTAATAACTTTAGTTTTAAAATTAACTAATTTCACAAATTGGGACAAATCACTACAAAAAGTATCACAGCGACAGTACTAATTCTACGGCAGTATAATACGAGAGCAGTGATTTTTAGCAAACAGGGCAATGTGGGTAATATTCACCTCACTGCAACAATGGTCAAGTATTAAAAAGCATAGGCGGAGACTCCAACTGCCACATAACAATGATCATTGTGTCTCTTGCCAGACAAACATGTCGGATCTTGTCTCAGTGGCTGCGATCAAGGATCTTCTGACTGAGTGTCCAATATGCACAGAACACTTTGATGACTCAATACGAATTCCTCGTCGTATGCCATGCTGTGTCCAGTCCATGTGGCAGCTCTGTCTGGAAACCTGCAGTGAAGGTAATACAACCATACCCTGCCCCATGTGTCGACACCAACATAACCTGCCCGGTGGAGTGAAATCCACCCAAAGAGACGGTCATCCTGAAGACTCTGGACTACCTCAAGATCCAGAAAGGTCTTCATCTTCCATGTACAGACTGTCCTGACAAGGAAACAGCTCAACCCAGATGTGACAACTGTGGGGTATTTCTCTGTTCTATCTGTCTGAATGCCCACAGGAGGAATGTAATAACAAAGACACACACAATAGTTACCTTTGATGAGATGAAGGGGCGACCTGTGCAGAGTTTCCGTCGTCGACACCAGTGCAGTCAACACCAGCTGCCTCTACAGTTCTACTGCCACACTTGTACCAAGGTCGTCTGTGTTTCATGCACTGTAGTAGATCACGATAAAGGGAAGGGACACAATGTTGTGTCTGTGGATGAGGCACACCAAGAACTGTCGCAATCCATAGAAGACGTTTTTGTAAAGATGTATGTGAAGTCAGAGACACTGGACAAAACAGAAGTAGAATTAATGAAGAAGCTGGAGAACATCCAAATGTCCAAGAGGGTTGCCACAGATGATATCAACTAAACTTTTGACGATCTGACCAATGAGCTGAAGCAAACGAGGTCAGTCCTCTTGTCAGATGTTGAACATAAATCTGCTCAGAATCTTCAACTAACAGAGGAGTCACTGGAAGCAACAAGAGTTTCGCAGGCTAGAGTAAAATCTTCTTCTGACTACACAAAACTAATGAGAAGTAAAGCTGACAGGATAGAGGATCTTCAGGTGATGGGGTCTTCAGCTGCCTCTTTGAGAGCCATGTTGGACGACATGCCACAAGAGGTATCCTTTGTCATGACTGGTGTGAACTTTGTAGAGGCAAACATACATCATCTTCGTGATAGCATCAAAGCGGCTGGAATGGTCAGGTCAGTAACGTTCTCCCCAACAGAGAGGCCGAAATATGTGCCAGATTCTACAGCATACAATGCCATCGTACTGGATCCAGCAGAGTTACCGACAGGTATGTAGTATAAAATTAGTTCGTAAGTGAGTGAGTGGTTGGGTGAGTCGGATTGGGTGAGTGAGTGGGCTTGAGTGAGTGAGTGGGTTGGGGTTGTTGGTTGGTTGGTTGGGTGAGTGAGTGAGTGAGTGAGTGGTTTACAGTTTGAGTAGGTGACTTGATGGGTATTGGTTGTTGGTTGGTTGGTTCAGTGAGTGGTTAGGGTGTTTTGTTAGAGTGGGTGGTTAGGATGGATGGGTGTTTTAGTGAGTGGGCACGTGAGTGGGTAGGTATGTCAGTGGCTGGTTGGTTAGGGTGGATGTGTGCTTTAGTGAGTGAGTGATCTATCGATGGTGGCATACCACAATGCCACTGAACAGTTACAGCTGCAGTAGTTTCGTTGCGAGCACTGTAACCAGTTTCGTTTAGTTTTCGATCAACATTTATGTTTTCTCATTTGCAAAAGGTTTCGGTGAACCAGGTGAACCATAAGAGAGTTATTTAGTCCTACATTGCCTGAACAGAGACTAAGTCAATTTCAATATAGATAGTGTATCAGGAAAAAACATGGTGATCGAAATCCGATTCAGCATTGCCGAGGAGCAGTCATCGTAAACGCCCCGTTTTAGCGCGGGCAACACGTTTATTTCTGGCTCTTGTTTATAGAGAAAATACTTACATCTGAAATTGAAAATGATCGATTGGGAAAATTTGAAGAATACACTATGTAAACTCCTTACATTAATACAGCCTTTGGAAATGTTTGACAAACAAGACTCCAGCATCCATTTAGTGTTACGGTAATTAACAAGTATACGTCGGTCATTTCTTACTGAAAATTCATCTTTAATAACATAAATAGACTGTAACAGTAACTAATAGCCCACAGTCAGGTCGACCAGAATTTTGTTAAATAACTATGATTTCCCATTTCGTGGTAGAAAGTTTATGCAACCATTCCCACTGACTGAAGTGAGCGAAAGTTTCATAGTTTAGAGGATTGAAGTTATTTGTTGTGTAAATTGATTTTTTTTAATACATTTCAGAAATTACAGGGAACAAATTAATGACGTTCAGTGTCACTGGGCTGTGGATACGCTTACTAGATGGAAAACCGAACGTAACTCTGGTTGAATACATACTACTTACCATTGATAGCCGAATTATCTTTTGTATCCAGCATAAAATTAATATGGTGCAAACTCCCTTAGGCCTCCTTCACAACAATATGCATAATGTTCTCCTTTGGAAGCCTAATAACACTAGAATGTAAGAGATCGTGTCCTACTGCAACGTTTCCCAAACCCTCGCGACTTCTGAGTAGCACGATGCATAAATCAAGTAAATATCAAAATGTGCATAAAACGTAACAACAACCGGGTGATAGTGACTGTGAAATTAACTTACCGCAATGGAGGTCCGATCGATGATCCAGTTCCATTTGTTGTACAATGACATTGTTGTATTGTGCTGAATATACTTCAACTAAGATGGCGGGTGCAATGTCATGTCAAGTGATGTCATTTCGACATCTTTTTTCCGCGGGAGTGAGTGAGTGACCGAAAGTAGTATGGGAGTATATGACTCACTGAGTCACAGCATACCAGTCCTTGTTTTGTCCCCTAATTTCTGAGAGCCAGACAAAGGAGACAACAAGTACCATGTTTTAACGTGCTTGTGGTATGAGACGACCAGGGATCAATCCGGTTATCTTCCGATCTCAGATCACTCTCTCCGCTCTCAGGTCGTTCTCTCCTGCTCCACTGCACCACAAAGGTGATTATAATTGTTTTGCAAAGCCGTCCGTTTCGAAAAGGTATGTGGGGTTGCTTTACCAGTGCCATACCATATACATGATATTGTGGAGGCATCACGTGACCTCTGCCTTGTTTCAGTGATGGAGATGGACCGGAAGTTGTCTGAAGGGGAGATAACATGTGAGTAGTTCTGGATGGGGGCATCGTGTCCTTGGATGATGCTTCAATACGTTTTTTCTGTCACATTTGTCAAGACATCACTCTAGTGTGATATTTATAATAGTAACATGAGACTCCAGTTCATTTACCCTGGAGGTAAAGTTCGTCGTTTGGATCCTATCACACGGTTCATTTAAAAGCTATTGTACACCTACATACATTTGTTTTATCTCCATATTTGGCGTTTCTTTTCTAAAATATCAATAAATTCTTGTTCACTGCAATGGAAATGGTTTGTATCAATTATAAATGTTATTCTGTACACAGGCCCTATGCTGGAATGGGACCCAGGAACAGCTCGGCGTGATATAAGCGTATCTGGTCGGGTAGTCACCAACACTCCACCAACCACCCCTTCTCCTGATACAGGATGTCGGATACAAGAAATCAGATCAGTTCTGGCGTCCAGACCTCCTGATGGTCCGGAAACAGCCCCGGTCAACAGTGCATCTATCAACTAAACCTTGGGTTCTCTGTCAAAGAAACTATACGAGACAACTGTATGATGCAAGTGACTGCTCTGACCCCCACCCCTGTAGATGGTCCCTACCATCAACACACTGGACTGAGTGTAGGTGTTGTTACATGCCCGACCACAAGCAGCAGCTGATGTGTCTCGGGTTGCCTATAATAACACCCTCCTCAGACACACCCCACTCACCCAGAACAGAGTTGGCCAGTCTTATGACCTACGACTGTGTTTTGTACTGGATGGAGCTAACAACAAACTGTCAGTTATCAATGCTGCTGATAACACAGTGTACACCACTGTCACAGATGTAGATTTTGACAGACCCATGTGGGTCATGATGCATGTTGGTGATCCCGACTATGTAGATATAACAGGAGAACTGATATCAGGCCACAACGTTACAGGATCCTTCAACGACTACAATCGGTAGAAAAGTCTTCATCACCGGCATGACACTCTGCATGTACATTACAATACTGACGCCAATGCCTGAACCCGGCAGTACGTTGATTGTCTGAAGATCTTGGGTATATTCCACAAGATCGCAGGATGCAAAAAATGGTAGTACTTACAGTAATGATTAATGGTTTAGCATTAGTGTTAATTGGAAAGTCTATCGCAAAAGAATAAAACGAAATATGAACTGCGACACATGACACGAATGTCAAACTATGCTCTGTATACGTTAAAATCAGGGGATGTGTTATTTGGATAAGAATTTATCTGAATTAGTGACAAATCTGTTTTTACTGGAATATAACTTTTGCAATCCATTGTATATTTGCGTTTGTAAATAGCGGACCCATTCGTAGTGAATTATTACCTAACTATGAATGGTTAATGTGTATTTGAAGTTTGAAATATTCTTATAGTTACATTTCTAAGGAATGTGATATTTCAACTTATCATATAGCTATATTATCATGTTTATTAATATATAAGACTGAAGTAATGTGTGATGTTTTTCGCTTGGTATCGCAGCACTGAGCGCTTCACCTCATTATAATTGCGTTGATGCTTTAACAACACAGTGTTAGTTGTCACATTTCCCTTACATATTGAATAAAAATATTTTATATGAATTAATTTGGAAATCCAAAGGAATATATGAAACTAAGAGAAACCCTCTATTGTCCCTGTCGTGATATCTAGAAATGTTATATTTTATCCATGCCTGCGTGTAACCTGTCCAATTAGACATCAATTACCTGTTGTTCTTGTTCTAGTTGTTCTTGTTCTTGTTAACCTCTGCTTGCTACTACCTACTATACATATATATTCCTCATCACCTCTTCTCTTATAGCTTGATAACGGCGTAAGAAATTTGTTATGTATGTATGTATGTATGTATGTATATGTTTGTATGTATGTATGTACGTACGTATGTATGTATGTATGTATGTATGTATGTATGTATGTATGTATGTATGTATGTATGTATGTATGTATGTATGTATGTATGTATGTATGTATGTATGTATGTATGTATGTATGTATGTATGTATGTATGTATGTATGT